AAATAGACTCAAAATGACTTTTATTGACCGAACCTCGAGCGGTCGCTGCGCCTCACTTATGGTGTCCATATTTCTGGACACTATTTTCTACAACGATCGTTCTCCTGTTCTCTAACCTTCATGTCATCAAACATTTTGCAATTTTGTTCATAATACTGTAAAAGAAATATGAAATATAGTATTCCTGTTTTCGCAAATATTGGACTGATAAATCTATATGAATTGAAACCTATAAAAATTATAATATAAAGGAGACTTGGCTTTAGCCTTTATGGTTTTTGAAAATATGAAGAATTAAAGAAAATAAGATTTTGAAGAGATGGAAATAAGAAAAATAAGACGTGGTTCCGGCTTTTACACTTCAAAATTCTATATATTTATTCAAATTAAAAAAGACAAGGCTGTATGGCGTAGTTCCTTTGCCTGCTCTCTCGAGCGAATAATAAAAACAACAACATCCTGCTTAGTGTCAGTGTCTTTTAGGGATGAGCAAGTAAAAAAATATCCCGATATACATCGTATCCATATTTAAAAAAAAGTATCGATATAAATATATATATATATATATATATATATATATATATATATCGCACAAACTAATAAGAGTACTAACGTACAGACGACAATCTTCCATACTAAAAAATTGGTCTATAGCAGCCTCAAAAATTGAAAGTGACATTTACGTTTTTAAATTTATCTAAGGCAAAGGTATTTATTTGTTTCAGCCTAGTGGCCAGTGGCTGTAAAAAATCCTCATAGAACTTTGAAAATTTATTTTTATTGGTTTAAACTTATGTACGTGTTCACAACGTGACCACGTACATAAATTTAAACCGCTATTAACGTTTATTTAGATATAAAGAAATAAAATACAGAAATATTTATTGTCTTTTATTTTTACATTTCAGTGTAAATTTACAAGTGCAAGCAAATTCTTTCCTTGTAGGCGCAAAACATCAATTTCTTTTAAATATTGCCACAGCCATTGAAACCTTTATAATTACAATCAAATTTTTTATCGGGGGAACTGATGGTTCTTTGCACATAGGTCACATATTCAATTCAAATGATGTAACAACTTTTCTCAAATTTTTCTCCTTGTAGTATTTATGGTTTGTGCTTGTTGCTCCCCCATTTACCAAATATGCAGCAATATCTATTTAATAGCCGAGTACTCCTAGGCAGTTTTCAACCTGCAACAAAAATAAAATTAAAAAAAAAGTAATAATGAGTTGATAAAACATAGTAGCATTTTATTTAAGATTGTTTGAGTATTGCAAAGGTTCTTTTTAGATACAATCAGTCACTAAGGGTTAAGTTTTCAATGGTCACATATAAGTTATTCATAAAACAAAATCTAAGAAACAAATGAGAATTACAATTGAATTAATAAAATAGTTCAATTGTTTGACATCAGCTTGTAAACAATCTATTACTACTATTGTACTTGGCAGATTAGCATTCACATTCTACTTTTTTTGTCGCCAGTTTAGATATTAGATACGGCTATATTTTTACATAACATAGCGGATTAATAATCTGAAGTAGCAATGGACCGTCAATATAGCTCGAAGAACCGACAACCAATAGAGAAGAAAGGTTCTCAAGAGTCAGCCTTGTGCCGGTAGCCAAAGTGTAGGGCAGGCCCCCACTAGATGGTGTGACAATCTGTGAAGATATACAGGAAGTCGATAGATGCTGGTGGCTCAGGACTGTGCTTTGTGGTATTCCTTGGGGGAGGCTAATGTTCAGCTATGGACTTATTAAGAGCTGTAATGATGATGATAAAGTAAGTTTTGTTAACAGTAGAATAAAAGGAAACAAAACCACTAAAAGCAAAACAAGTTTTTATAAAACTTACACAGATGTTATCCCATTTAAATTTCTTACTTTTAACTTCCTATATTTTCACTGCTTTGCAGCACCCATAACACCTATGACCATTATAACAGGTTGATTCAAAATGTATTTGTATTCTTCGTCAGATGTTAAGTCAACTGTCAGAAATGCACCTGTTTTGACTGAACTAAATTGATGGTCTACACTTATCGTACAAAACACGGTAGAATTAGGCTGCTATTTTATGTGGGCATTTAATGAGAGTGTGATTCTACCCTAGTCGAGTTGATTCATACTACCACCATAATAAAGCTTCATGTGGTATATGACTACAACACATGATGTTTGTCAATCAATCAATCAACTTTTATTTGCCAACGAAGTGTACATAAATGGTCTTATAATAAAAACAATTTGTCTTTATTTAGGCATTGCAAATTTGAGAAAGTATAGATAAAATAAATTATTAAATACAAACATTATAGAGAAATTAGATTAATGATCAATAATATAGTCTAATAAATGAACAATAATAAATCATGCAAAATACAAAGGTATTTGTGACATTTAACATAAACACATAATTTTTCTTCTACTGATACTGTTCATAATATTACTGTGTATCAAAACGGCTTTTCCTTTTTTATGTATTTTATTTGTGTTAAAAATATGTAATTTGTTATTTGTGTTTTGTTACTAGTGCTTCAATGTATTCTTTGATTGAGTAGAAACATTTTTCAATTAAATAATAATAATGCTTTTAGTTTTTTAATGAATAGTGTAATCTTATTTTCAGTTTTTATGTGGATATGTAATTTATTGTAAATGTTGTGTTTTTACAGCCATGTAGTAGCAACTCTGGTTTAGCATTTTAATTCTTAATGGTGGTAGGTATAGTTTGTCTCTGTGGTGTGTATTGAAATAGTGGCTGTCTTTTATTTATTTATTTATTGCATTTACACGTGGTTTTGTATGATAAATTACAGCACATGCACCCAGCAAAAGTACAACAAAATGAAATCAAGCTAGCTAGCTCTAATGCCTTAATTCTAATACTAATATTTGTATTATTATAATATTTAGTGTATATTCCATTACTATATTTATTTATTTACTTTAACTTAACATAATATTCATCTAATTTATAGTAACATTTCTTAATCAAAAAGCTATTTAGTGCTATCACAAACTTCTTATATTCTTCTATTTCTATTATATCTTTGAGTAATGTGTTATATAGTTTAACTGCCATGGAATATGGTCCAGAACTGTATAAAAATAAAGTGGTTTTAGGCAATATTGATACATTTCTCTTCATAAGTTGTATATTACATCGATGTATATTATCGTCACTAGCTTTTTGAAATATACCTATCTTAGCATTTTCTTACTAATTTTCATGATTCTAATATGTATAAAGATGTAACTGTTAATATCTTGTATTATATACAATATAGTCTACAGCTTCCCTAGTCAATATTTGCTAGAACTCTTATTTTGACATTTGATACATTTTTACGTTTGAGAGGTGATTTATGTTCTTGAGAACAAATATGAAATTATCAAATATGTATAATGATAGTAGTGTGAGAATGTTATGTTTAAAAAGTAGGGCCTACCATTGTCAAGATCTTGTAATCAACTCGCCTGCCAAGTTTGAAAACCAAGGCATATACACTATCTTGCGCCAACTATGACAAAATCTTCCCTAAGTGGCAATCTATGGAGGATGCCTGCAGTCAGCAGCAGGCTTTCATAGGATGTATATTTATAGGAATAATGAATTAAGAAAAAATAAATAGAAAAATTACTGACCGGTCGTGATCTCAGCTTCTGTAAACAACGTGAGATATGCATCCTGGTTACTTTGATCTTAGATCCTGGTAAATACCAGATTTATTCTGGATAACAAATCGCAGCTCAAAGTGTCGGTAGCACACATCATCATCATCAGCAGCAGTCCACTGCTTGAGATAGGCCTCTCACAAGGCGCGCCACTTAGCCCGATCTTCGGCTACACGCATTCAGTTTTTATCAGCCACCTTGCGCAGATCGTCGCTCCATCTGGTCAGGAGGCGTCCCACACTACGCCTAGACGCGGTCTTCACTCCATAACACATATATAATAAAAAGTAGCACACATGCAACTTATTATTATGTAAGTTCTTGTACATACTACATAGATTACTGTATTTATTTATGTTCTTGTACATAACCTTTGAATTTTTTACACTTTATGTCGTCGCGTAATGGCCGCGGTGCATGCCGCGACACATGGTAGGGTGTGGACCATATACGCAGTAATCTATGGTGTGGACAGAAACGTCAAAACAAACGTCAATCTAAATCCGTAGCTACATATTTATACATTTGTAGTCAATAGCTGTCAACATCGATTTTTGAGGGCCATAGACATAAGGCTAGGAATATTTGTATAGAGATTACCACCCGTGTATATATCGCTTTAGAAATATCGATATATCCTCATGTTTTGATGATGTAGTAAGATGAGGAGAAAAATTTCCGACTGGACTTTTGGACAAACGTTGCTTTGGTACGAGTAGTTCAATATCATATATCTATAAAAATATCGATATTTCGAAATTTTCTTGCTGGACGTTTGGAGGATGAAAAAAACAACAGCACATGAATATTTTAGTAGTTACTTCGATACGATTGTTTCGGTGTTGGGATTAAATTATCGATATTTCGACATTTGGTTACTGGACATTTGAAAGACGAAAAACAATAAGCAGAAAATTAATGCTTTTACTTTTGCCTTTCTTGCTTAATTGTTTTTATTTTTTTATAAGCAAATCATTTTTAAATATATAGATAATGATACTAATTCAATATTCTAAAATAAATTTCGAACATCGATATATCGCGATTAAAAAAATATAATCACATATCGAAATATCGATATATATTAATATGTCGATATTTCGATATGTCTATATGTTTTGCACAAGCCTAATGTCATTGTCACTTCTGCTTACCATTGCGCTATTGCCTTTATTTATATATTTATATGTCCTATTGAAATTACCATTTACCACCACTAAACGTGATAATAACCTTTTAGGGCACAAAAGCATCTTTTGGATATATGATTGCTTGATAACCTTGACGTTGTCATTACCAAAGTGACTATAGGCGTAATGATGGGTGAAAAAAATAACGAGTGGGAGTCCACCAAAGGTTTGCGGGAACCTATAAAATGTTTGGAGGTTTGTCGAATTTTACATTTTTAGTATTGTATTCGTTTTACTATAGCAGTTGTGTAATAAGTCAGGAATTTATTTATGCCTTATAATTTGACTATGACTATGAGCTGTCATGGGCTAAGCGCTCGTTGTAAATTTCACAGTGCGCGAGCAACCCGGGTTCAGTTCCCACCGGCAGCGATAAAATTGTTAATTGCAATTTTAAGTGCTGATTAACCACATATTCGGTGGTGAAGGAAAACATTGTGAGGAAATTTGCATGTCTGAGAACTAAGAAAAAAATATTTCGAAGACATGTTAAGTTCGCTAACATGCATTGGGGTAGCGCAGCGATCATTTCCTAGCCTTTAAACAGACTCCAAAATGATAAGAGGCCTGTTCCTGGCAGTGGGAAGTATATTGGCTGTAACTTTAATTTGACTATAACTTTTCATCTGAATGTTAGACAGAAAGAGGATTAATCAGAATCAGAATATTTTTATTGCCAATAAACTGTGTATGTACAATTTGCGGGTGACATTGCAATTAAATGTTACACGTTTTACCCATATCGGGTATGCAATAATTAGAAAACAAAACTTAATTTAAGGGTATGTTCCGAAATACAACGCAATGTACTGTCCAATGCAAATGACGTCATCATTTGACACTTTATTGTACTAGCGTGCCGTTGCCATATTGTGTCGGATATCCGGCCATAATAAAACAATTGCCGAATGAAGCATGCCAGAATTTGTTTCTATTTATTCAAATACAAAAAATTAGTATAGCCATTAGGAGGATATAATGATTTTTGGAGCACAAAATGACAAAATAATCGCCAACACTTTTCCAAATGGCACAAAAGTATGACGTAATATACTGTCCAATGTTTTGGAACGAATAACTAGTATAGCGTCGATTCATGACATCATTTGCATTGGACAGTACACTGCATTGTATTTCGGAACATACCCTAAATTATTTGGTATTAAAATATTCATCTAAATTATAAAAAAAAAATTGTATGCAATAATTAAAAAAACAAAACTTAATTTAAATTATTTGGTATTAAAATATTCATCTAAATTATAAAAAACATTATGTATTAACCATTTTTTTTAGTTGTTTTTTAAATTTTGGCAAGTCCATGGCTTTTATATGAGGTGGCAGATGATTAAATATTTTAATACCTGTGCAAAAGGTGCTCTTATAATACATATAATTATTTATTCTAGGTGAATATAAATTATACTTATATTTAGTGCGTATTGGACGTGAATTCCCGTTAGATTTAATCTGAAAATAGTTGCCATTCTGTTTGATAAAAAGTGATATTTCTAAAATATAAATGTTAGTGAGAGTGAAAATGCCTTTTTCTTAGAATACATTTCTTAGAGTTTCATTTGAGTACATATTATAAATGATCCGCAGACATCGCTTTTGCAGAACAAATGTTGACTGCACATTTGTAGAATTACCCCAGAAAATAATACCGTAAACTTATAGAGGGTATGCCTGGCCGAAATATGCAGCCATTGATACTTCAATGGAGGTTGTTTCTGCTAATATGGATAATGCTTAACTGTAGCTAGAGATTTTTTTGTTTATTTTATCAATATGAGATTTCCAATTTAAATGACAGTCTATGGTGACTCCAAGAAATTTAATGTTATTAACTATTTCTATTTGAGTGTCTTTATCTGCTATATTTAAATTTAAAGAATTTGTTTTGTAATTTCTGAATTGAATTATTTTAGTTTTTGTTACATTAACATTTAAATTAATTTGGTTAATCCATTCAACTGTTATTTTTAAAGTTTTATTTATATTATTTTCAAAATTCATTTGAGTATCAGGTATAAAGGTTGTTGCATCATCAGCGAACATAACACATCTATTGTCAGTGATATTTGGCAAGTCATTCACATAAATTAAGAATAACAAAGGGCCTAAAATACTTCCTTGTGGCAAGCCTAGAGTCATTTTAACTGGCTTTTCGAATACATATACGTGTATTTATTTGATCTTATGTGAACTATTCTCTAAATGTCAATGAAATTTGCAACATCTTATTACACCTTGGTCCATAGGTTGCTGTACAGATGTAACATTTAGTGGTAAGAACACAAGTTATACTCTTCAGATTAGTAAAATCCGGATGAGCAAGATATTTATCAACCAAAAGTAGAATTTTGGTATTGTTTGCTTTTAATTCAGTATCTCAGTTTCATAACCATCTTTAAAAATATCCAATGTCATCCAGAATCCAGAAGTTTCATATGTTACTGGCAGTTAAAGTATGTTTTTAAAGCTGTTTCTTAGAATTGGTGGTAACAAAAAGCTTCCTTTTACAGGATCCTGTCATATTTGCTGCAACCGTGATTGTTAGTCTTGTCTTAGAACATCTTTTGCATTTTATTGAAGAATTGCTCCATTTATTGGCATTATTTGTCCTTTGATATATAAACCACAAACAAACTTAGCAAAGCTTCCTCAATCGTGCAGTAAAAAAATGTTTAAATTTTTACCATTTCTTTCCAAGTCTTTGAAATTGCTGAGTGTGATGCACCATATTCCTTCGCCAAGTCTTTGTTTGAAATTCCACCCTCTAGCTTTGGTATAATATGCAATTTTTTTTCAGTATTAATTTCTTTCTTTTTCTTTGCAACATGTTAAAAGTTTCGCAATTAACAATATGCTTCGGTGCACCTTGTGTACAGATAAGTAACAAACTGATTAAATAGATATGAGAAAGCGGGCTTTGATTATATTGCTTGCAGGTGTATTTGGTTTCTGAGAATTACGAAAGACCCTAAATTCGACACATTTTTGTTTAATTTTGCAATATTAATAACCATTGACCATTATACTGTGCCAGATGAGGATACTGTTATCTATTCAAATTGTTTAAAATACGACTGGTCCTTCTAAAAAATACAATTCTCTGAAAATATTGGTTAAATAAAGTTGCTTAATGAGGTACAGTAGAATGTCGATTATCCGAATTAATTGGGTGACATGGGTGTTCAGAAAACCAGTTTATTCGGGTAATCGAACTGTATAATTTTATTTACTAATATATTTATATGTAATATGAATTTCATTTATTACAGTTGTAACACAAGCTAGAGCAGTGGTAAGATCCTTGTTTAATTTAGACCAGGTGCTGCTAATTCACGATGCAAAGCTAGAGTTTTTCCAATTGAGCCCAGTTTTGTCAGGGTTTGTGATTATGTTCTAAAAATGTTTCACATTTTCTAGAACATAATCTGCTTGTTTCAATATGTTGCTTAATTTGATTATGAAAAAATCAGCTGCTTAATAATAAGCAGACTTTCTCCTTGTATTTAAGGCTCATGAATGGCATGTCTTTACTTAAACAGTTTTAACCAGCCCATGCTTGCTTGAAAGTTCGATGGTCCTCCAAGTTTTTCATTTAACATTTTGCCTTTTCACATAGAATGGGATTAGAGATAGGTTCTCCTTGTAATTTTTTTGTGTAAATCACTTGTAAACAGGGTCATCTAGATCAGTGTTCGTTACGAGCTTCATAGTTTTATGTCTTGCTGATCCATCAGTAGAACCAAGCTTGAATTTAAAATTTAAAATGGTTGTCTTTTGGTTTTCTATATCTGTATTTGTCGACTTACCCACTTTGTACTCATTAGATAACTTGGTTGTACATTCGCCTTCCTCTAATTGTTTGTTAATCTCGTATTTATCTCTTATGGAAAGAACAAAATGTTTATGTTTAGGGATTTTAAATTGTGAGCTATTAGCTCACAAATTAATACATTAGCATACAGACCTATCGGCTGCATCCCAACGAGGTGCCGAGGTAGCAATTTGGTTAGGCGGTTGATCGACGCTTGGATTATCGACGCTCTATTATATGTCGTAATAAGCAATGTTGTAAAAATTTGTGTTTTTTATAAGATTATCATATAGTATTCAGCCGGGACCTATGATTTTGGTATATAATGGATATGTTGTTCTTAACAATAGTGTTGTAAAGGGTTTTAACTATAAACACTTCTTAGAACTGTATATAGTATTTTGAAATAAGATTGTTAATATCTATAAATGGAAAATTGAGCTGATTCATTTACAGTTAAATAGCTTAATTTATAAGAATTTTATTTATACAAAATTTAGAGATATCATTATTTAAATTGGCATACACCTGCACCAAAAGTGTCATATTACAATAGATGGCCGATCTCCAGAGAGGGGTTATGTCTTAGTATTTTTTTATAGGATAAGGGTGACAAACAAGTATACAGTCCACCTAATAGCAAGTAGCTGCTGTAGCCCATGATTACAAATCAAATGCAGATGCGTTGTTACCCCTGAGGTGTAAGATGGAATGCCTCCTTTCTATTAAAAAGGGTTTCCGGTTCTCAACACCTACCATAAGAAACACAGCATGGTTAAACTGCTTTTTTATTCTGTGATGTGAAGCATGGTCCTTCCCCAGACGAGCTGCCCCATTAATGCTACAACTGTACTACTAGTAATGTCTCTGCAGTATTGCTTTACCACATGTTAAAGTATATTGTGTTACATTTAATGGTTAAAATAATAGGTCATATATCATTACAATGAGTTCTTATAGTTAGTAGAGACACGCTGCAGCATATTATGGTTACAGCATATATGTGTCTGCTCGACCAGGTAAGCAAAGTACTGACACAGAATACCTACTTGAAATGGCATCATAATTTGTTTTGTATTCTTGTATACTGTAATATTGTAGCCTATAAAGTGCACTGCTGGACATGTACCTCTCTCTATCTGTATAAGAATTGACCTTCATTGTTATGTTTGGCAATGTAGTTATTTTCTGTTTCGGTGTAGTCATATTAGTTTTTAGGACTAATTATATTTATTTTACACAGTCATACTTATTTTGTTTATGTATATTAATCAAAGCTTTTTTGCCATCAAAAAGCAAGCATCATAGATAATTTACATTTCTTTGTTGATGGATCACATATGTTATTTAAAAAGAAACTAATGAAAGACTGAAGATATAGTAAAAAAAAATTAATCTGAATTGACAAACTTACATTCTACTTGATGGTAAGTGGCTACTGTGGTCCATGGGTACCTGCAGCTAACTTCAAGCAAACAAGGCTACAAATGATTTGTTATCTCTTAACATTACGATAGCATGTCTCACAGCCTGTTACTTCACTGACTGCATTTTTGGCAGCAAAAATAAGTGAAAGAGTAGTACATAGCCAGATGAACATCCAGGTTGAAAAGAAACAACATATATATATATATATATATATATATATATATATATATATATATATATATATAACCTACCACACAAATCAATGATGTATATATAGCAAATGAGTGGTGGTATAGATATAAATTTTACATGGACAAATACTTGGACCATAGATTTTTCATATTGTAATTGTTTCATTGTATTTTTTACTTTTCAGGATAAATGGAAACTTGTTCCTTCTTTTCTGCAAGTAAAAGGATTGGTGAAGCAACACATTGATTCATTTAATTATTTTATCAATGTAGAAATAAAAAAAATAGTACAAGCAAATGAAAAAGTATTTTGTGATGCAGATCCTCTCTTTTACATCAAATACTTAAATGCATATGTCGGGACTCCAGATTTAGAAGAAGGTTTTAACATGACTAAACCGACCACACCACATGAGTGCCGGTTGAGAGATATGACTTACTCAGCCCCTATTACAGTTGATATAGAGTATATAAGAGGCAACCAAAGGGTTATTAAAAATAAACAACTTATTGGAAGGTATATGCTTTAACACATAAGTAAACTTTAAGTGGAATACAGATTTTCTAAATATATTTTTTTTTTCAGAATGCCGTTGATGTTACGGTCTTCAAATTGTGTTTTAACTAATAAATCAGATTTTGAGCTTGCTCAACTAAATGAATGCCCTCATGATCCAGGCGGTTACTTCATAATTAGAGGTATGAAATATTCTTATTACTATGACACGAATTTTGTAAATCCACACACCACACACCTGTAGATTTTATTGTCTAACTTGAAATAAAGTAGACATTTTGATGTAATATTTTCGTAGCATTACAGATTGGACATAACATTAAAATACTAAGCCTAAGCTAATGGGTAATAAGTTCTGCCAACCTACTCCCGACAGAATCGAGTTCTGAAATATACAAATTTTATTCAAATTCAAGTTTTTTCAAAAGAGTTCGTACTTTCAAAAGAGTTAGTAAGCTATCTATTATTGTTCAAATTAAGAGTGGGCTGTAACAGGTAAAATCGTATATTTGTTGCGCCTGTTCCAGTTCCACATAAATAACAGTTTCAAAAACCTGTTTTAAAGTAGCAGTCTGTTACTACAGTCTTTACAGGTACTTCTCTTTCTAACTAAGGTAGTAAGTAAGGTAGGTAAGGAGCTTGTGACAACTAACAGGGTGTTACAGTGTAACAGTAACATTTTTTATCTTATTTTAATAAAGGTAACTGTCATATGTATGACATAGATTTACCAGCGTAAAATAGCAGTTTAATACTGCTCTGTTTCGTGAGTGTAGAGATCCGGAGACCCTTTTACTGAAAACAAAGCATTCCATCTTAGTCCTCAGAGGTGACAACGCATTGTGTTTTAATTCTTAATCAAGAATAAATGTAGATGTCTATGGGCCACAGCGTCCACTTACCATCAAGTGGACTGTGTGCTCATTTGTCAACCTTATCCTCTAAAAAATCACCTTTTAAATGTTACAATAAAAAATTCCTCCCCTATTATTCCACAAATAAATATATAAGTATTAATAAATTTGGAGAAAGTTTTTGAAACACCAAACATTTATCTTGTTTTATGAACAGGACAAGAAAAAGTTATTTTAATACAAGAACAATTATCAAGAAATCGAATGATTGTGGATGAATTCAAAGGAGCCATACAGTGTCAAGTCACAAGTTCCACTCATGAAAAGAAGACAAGAACAAATGTTATAGTCAAAAATGGGAAATATGTCCTGAGACACAATGCATTGTCCGATGTATGTTGTTTCACACTATCATACAATAAAAAAATGTAAGGTTTAACCTTACAATTCATTTAATTTTTTAAATAACAGGCAAATAAGCTAACAGTCTACCAGGTCCAATTAGACATGCAACATCATCATCATCATTATTATTACAGCCCTTCACAAGTCCACTGCTGAATGTAGGCCTCCCCCAAGGAATGCCACAAACCACAGTCCTGAGCCACCTGCTTCCATTGACTTCCTGCATGTCTTACCAGGTCGTCACTCCATCTAGTGGGGGGTTGCCCTACATTACGCCTACCGGTACGAGGCTGCCACTCGAGAATATGTCTGTCACTCTGGTTCTACTGCGGATATCCTCATTTATAAGTTTATCATGCAGAGGAACCCCGAGCATAGCCCTCTCCATAACTCGCTGAGCGACCTTGAGCGTCCTCATACTCATACGGTCAGCAGTGAAGGACCACGTCTCAGGTCCATACGTCATCACTGGCCACACGCGCTGCAACATGCAACATGTACGAGATTAAATGAAAACGCATAACTACTTATATTCGGTATCGCATTTTCATATTATTCGACATAACTTTTGTACACAATTCGAAAATATTTTATAGCTTTCAATACTTATCCAATGAGTAACTTTGTATAAAAGCTTCAACCAAAAATAGCAATTGCGAATGTAAAATAATTCGTAGTGGGAAAGAATTATATTCCATGCGATAGAATGAAATAACGTATGGGACGTTGCTAAATTTCCACAAAAGAAACCCGCACGTGATGTCCCACAGGAATGTGCATTGTGAATTTCCTATCGATTCAATATGTATTTAGTTTTTTAGTCGGTGACCCGAATGTATGCTACCGATTTTAGTTAATAAGATTAACTTATCGCGAAAGAGAAGAAGATTAATGGTTTTGTATTAGTAGAGTTTCAATAAACAATCAAGTAATAATGTTGACTAGACTTCTTACTGCTTTTGTTAATAAATTATGGATTTCTCGCGAAACAAAAAAAGGAAGCAGTATTGAACCCTTGAATTTGCCAGAATATTACATAACCATTTGGTTTAGCGGCTAAGTACGCTGATATTATTTACTCTACAGAGAATGTCATCAGAATGTATCACTTAGAAAAGGAGACCCATTTTACTGGATACGAAGCGTAAAAAAAATGGGCCTTGTCGTGTCACCTTTAAAAAAAAAAAAAAACCAAAAAAACGATGTCCCCTCAACATTGGGCTTTTTTGTTTGAAAATTAAAATTTTTCAGTTATACATGAATTCTAAATTAAGATTAATTATATATTAGATTATAAGTTATAATTACCTATTAGTTTATAAATTTTAATTAGTTCCTTATAAATAAATAGTAAAATAAATAAATAATACTAGTTATCACTACATGAGATTTCATTTAATGTCGTACTTCATTGTATACTTATTTTTAAGACATGAAGTCCGCCAACCTACATGATGCAGCGTGGCGGATTCTTGTTGCCATAAAAACTGTGCGTGCGTGTGAGCTGTGGTGCGTTTACAGACTGTAACTTTACTTTTTATTTACTCCTAGATGTTATGATGTGCTTTTTAATATTGGGACTCTTCTCAATTTGCAGGATATTCCAATTGCTATAGCATTTAAGGCAATGGGTATTTGCAGTGACCAGGAGATTATGCAACTTGTTGGTTCTGATGATTCAATTGCTAAGAAAATGGCACCTTGCATTATGGATTGTCATAATTTAAAAATATTTACTCAAAATCAGGCACTTGCTTATATTGGAAGTAAATTGAAAGTAAAACGGTGAGTTAAGACAAAAAATTACGTTAGAAAAAAGGAAATTTTGTATTAGCAATGTTAGTAAATGTTAGTAAACAAAGATATAAAATGTCAAGTACAGTACAGTAGAAGTACCCTTGGTTGTAACAAAACATGGCAAAGTTACCAAACTAGTGATGCCATGATGAACTCAATTTAAAAGACAAAAGGTTAATAACACCATGTTAAAAACGAAATATTACATTTCCTAACCATTATTATTACGTTAATAAAAGGATAGGATAGGAAGGATGGGAGATAGGTAAGCTACATTCAGTATTTCAAACAAAATACACAATAATATTCCACGTTAAATAAAATGCCAAATTTAACTTTCATGTAGCCATATTGAAACAAATGCTTTCAATTAGTTATTAAATTTTCATCCAAAAAATAGGCATATCTCAAAAAAACGTTATGTTGTCCGTATTAATCGTAATTTTGTACCTGAACAATTGTCAAATCATTGGCCTAACTATCAATATAATTACTTACTAAATATAATAATATTAATAAACTAACTAACATCAACCTAATTGTTGTATTAAAATGTTCAGTTACAGTCCCTATCCAACAGCAATAAAAATAAATATGCAATATTACAATAAGGTACTTAACGAACTAAGAGCTGAACTGTATAAAAAATGTATTCATTCATTAATAAATCCTAATAAAACCTTATTAAAATACACACATTTTATTATAATTTCCAGTCATATAATAATATTTTTTTTAATTATAATTTCCAGTCTTGCCTCTTGCCAAAATACGCAGATTATTCTTACTTAATCCTAAGGCTTCTGAAACATATTTAGGTACGATCATAAGCCCGGATTAAGATTTTAGAATGTTTTAAGCCAGGTGAGTCAGACCAGATCTTAAAGGATGTATTGTGATAGAGTTTCAAGAGTCAATCGGGCCAGGCCTTTTGAGATTCCACAAAATGGCTCGGATCCAAATTATGTACTCTTTGAACCCTCCCGTGCAAGCTTGTTGGCAAGCTCATTGCCTACAATACCCGCATGACCCGGAATCCATCTCAAAACAACCCTGTTGTTACATTCCAGGACATTCAAACTGTTCATGCGGTCTCCAACTAGCTTTGAGGTCACTAAATTCGATCTCAGCGCTGGCAGTGCTGCTTCACTATCAGAGTTTATATAAATAATATGGATTGACGTAGTATTTTTATAAGCTGATTTCTGCATAACGAAGTATAACAAAAATTTCAGCTTGAAGGGTATAGAGGTGTTTCCCCAAATTAAATCCCCATATATATTAGGTCATGTTTATTCACCGACGATTGTTTTTGTGTGCGCAAATTTGCGCAGACAGAGTTCTGTATCGGGGAAAAAAGTGCTGATTTACCAGGTGCTCGGCGGTGAACGAAAACATCGTGAGGAAACCTGCATGTCTGAGAAATAAGAAAAAAAATATTTCGAAGACATGTGAAGTTTGCCAACACGCATTGGGGCAGCGCGGCGGACTCAGCCCTTCCTTGCCCTAAAACCTTTTCAGAAATGAGCAGAGGCCCGTGCCCAGGAGTAGGATGTATGTAGGCTGTAACTTTAACTTTTAAGGTGGCCCTAGTCGATGGCACGAACTAAGTGATGGGCGGGGTAAAAATGCATGCTATCTCAGCCGACATCACGTGCGAAAAGGATAGACGCTGTGATGAGCAGTAAGAAGCTAGTGCGCACACACATACCCACTCGAGTGACGCAATGCGCGACAGCGTCATCGCGTACCTACCTATGCGATTCATTTTTGAATAATATAAACTCAAACGGCAATTGTGAGCTCCGTGTCGCAGTTGCTTAGCAATGAGGCTGCGCTGGGGGCTGCGGGTTCGAATCCCGCACGGAAAAAATATTATATATGGCCTACAAATAGTTGTTCCGGGTCTGGATGTTTGAATGGAGATTGTCTGGAGAGAGAAAACAAATTGGTGTTATTATAACTTAGGATCTGCTGTGTGAAACGTAATTATTATGAACCCATAATGATTTCTTAAATTTACGCGAACACTACACATTGAATAAAACTAAATTTACGGATTCTATCGCGTTTATTTAACTGATTTTACTTATTTTTAATTCCCGACGTTTCGGGTGCTTTACAGCAACCATGGTCACGGAGGGGACTGAGATGTTTGACGTCCCAATGTCATTGTTAGCCCGGCTACCTTCAGTTTTTGAATATTAATTTTTGGTCCGATTTACGCAAAACGAACTTACAGTATCTTGAAGTCTTGCAGTGGTATGCTTGGGTTTAGGTTTAATTTTGTTAATTATAGGATCCCAAGCAGATTGCAGCACCCAACCATCTTCTCTATTAAAATTAGGAGGTTTTTTAATTTCAATAGCCTCGCGTATCATCCTTGGTAGGAATAGGTGTTCTTTTGCGAGGATTTGTGGTTTATCAAATCTGATGTAATGGTGGGGACGATCTTGAACATGTTCACAGACTGCAGACTTCCCGGAGCGTCCGTGCTTCACGTCAGCTATATGTTCTTTCACGAGGGTTTTTATGGATCTTTTTGTTTGACCTATGTAAGAGAGACCACATTCACAATCAAACTTGTACACTCCTGCATCTTGTAGAGGGATATTACACTTGACAGATGGTAAAAATTGACTAATATTCTTCGGCTGCTTGTAGTATGTTTTAATGAATCCAAGAAGTAAATCCAAGATTCTACAAACGGTACGTAGACAACACCTTCACAATTTTACCATCTGACAAAGTAAATGCATTTTTAAACTACCTTAACCCTATAAACTCTAAAATACAATTCACAATGGAGTTAGAGGCAAATAATTCTTTAGCTTTCCTAGATGTTTTAGTCATTTGAAATCCTGATAAAACTATTGGTCACACTGTGTATAGAAAAAAGACCCATACCAACCGATATTTAAATGGTGAATCTCACCATCATCCTTCACAGTTAGCTACCGTGGGTAATTCTTTGTTTCAGGGAGCATGAGGGATCTGTGACAGAAAACATCTGGCCGCCGAGCTGCAACATCTCAAGCAAGTATTGCAAGACAACAAGCTTCGGATCCCGCGCCTACGTCACAGTGACCGAATGAAGCCGGCCACAGTCGAGCGTGTGCCTGCTGTACTACCATATGTCAGAGGAGTCACAGACAAGGTTGGCTACATCTTGAGGCGAGCTTCCATTAAAACATACTACAAGCCGCCGAAGAAGATTAGTCAATTTTTACCATCCGTCAAGTGTAATATCCCTCTACAAGTTAGATTGTGAATGTGGTCTCTCTTACATAGGTCAAACAAAAAGATCCATAAAAACCCGCGTGAAAGAACATATAGCTGACGTGAAGCACCGACGCTCCGGGAAGTCTGCAGTCTGTGAACATGTTCAAGATCGTCCTCACCATTACATCAGATTTGATAAACCACAAATCCTCGCAAAAGAACACCGATTACTACCAAAGATGATACGCGAGGCTATTGAAATAAAAAAACATCCTAATTTCAATAGAGAAGATGTTTGGGTGCTGCCATCTGCTTGGGATCCTATAATTAACAAAATTAAACCTAAACCCAAGCATACCACTGCAAGACTTCAAGATACTGTAAGTTCGTTTTGCGTAAATCGGACCAAAAATTAATATTCAAAAACTGAAGGTAGCCGGGCTAACAATGACATTGGGACGTCAAACATCTCAGTCCCCCCCCCCCCCGTGACCATGGTTGCTGTAAAGCACCCGAAACGTCGGGAATTAAAAATAAGTAAAATCAGTTAAATAAATGCGATAGAATCCGTAAATTTAGTTTTATTCAATATTATGAACCTAGTTTATGTAGTTGTTATTATGAAAGTTCTTATGTGAACTTAAGTAGATGTTGTTATTATATAATAATTTCATTGATTTGTTTTTACCTACTTTTTAACCGACTTCGAAAAAAGGAGGTGGTTCTCAATTCGTTGGTTTTTGTTTATGTATGTTCTGTCCCCCGATTTCTCGAAGATGCCTGAACCGGTTTGGATTTTTTTTTTGTTTGAAAGGATATATTTTCCAGATAATCCCACGGTAATCGATGATGGTCAGGTCAGGGTCTGATGATGGGATCTTGGAGAAATCGGAGGCACTCTTCAATAAATGACAGCAAATCGACCGCGATTGCTGCTATCGCCTATCTATGCATTCTTTACGCAATCACACAATATAATATCACGCCTGTATCCACTAAAGGGACATAACTCTCAACTAAAAATGGTAACTTAAAAAAAATTACCATTTCTAAAAAAAACACAAAAAAGTATAACATAATTATGTTTTCTTTATGTTTTTGTATTTTATTGTAGGTTATGCAAATATTACTGTAGGTACTATGTATTCTAAATAGGTATTTACTTACCATAGCTAGTTAGCTATAATAGCCCACAGGCAACTCCCCGAAGTATATGCCAGCCAGCGTCAGGATAACTGCTTTTTCGACAGCGCGATTTTGTTGTGAGTGGGGCTTTTATAGAGGTTAATTAAATAAATAAAAAATGTAAGTTTGTAAATTGTTTATTGATTGTTTGTGTTCAATAGCGGTTTGCAATATTCTCTTAGTACTTATAAAGTTATCAACAATAGGCATTGTGTCACTGCAGGGATAAGCACAAACGTTATCAAAATAGTAACGTATATAAACGGAATACTAACAGCACAGACTTCCTTACAGAAGTCCAAAGAACACGTCTAGACAAGGTAATTAATTAGAAGAAAACTACAATTTAGAGATCGATTGTAAATCAAATTCACAGTACAGACACAATTAGCGAAATATAAATAAAATTTTGATTTATTTTATGACAGATAACGCTAGTTGAAAACCAAACACTGTATGGGAATGACATCACCGAACGAGTCAGGTCGTCAGTCCAAACAAATAAAAGGCGCGATTGTAGAAAGATATTCGTTACGAAACGTGTGTAGGCTAGGGGGCTTGGCCTGTTTATGCTATTAATAACGAAGGCTATAAAATATGTACAACTTAGAAATTAAATCCTATGTGTACTTATCTGTATTCATAACCCAATATCTGAGGTAGGTTGATGTGCTCCTTAGTTTTTATATAGTTCGTATTATTCTGTAATAAATTAAATCTAATCCAAAATATACTATAATACCATAGCAAAGCTACTACTATTTTATTTAGTAGTAGCTTATATAGTAGTATAGTAAATTATATATAAAAAAAATATGAGTATGTCTGAGGTAAGGTTAAATATAAACAAATATTTTGCCAAGTGCGAGTCGGACTTCCGAGCATATTAATATCGATCAAAAAAGCCAAAAATACACGTTTCTTTTTCTAGTAGAAAATCCTTTAATTTCAAATTTATTTTTACTATTTGCTGTTATAGCGGCAACAGAAATACACGTTCTGTGAAAATTACAACCATCTACCTACTTATTACGGATCATGAGATACAGCCCGCTGACAGACAGACACACGGACAGCGGAGGCTCCGTAATAGGGCCCTGCTGGTTACCCTTCGGGTACGGAATCCTAAAAAGTACTTAGTTGTCCACTCACATCTGTATGATTCTTTCGTCAAGGGACCATATTAGCCTGGTTCTCGTATGACATGACCAATGTAATACCTGGACTGACCTCTTTGAGTTTGTTTCGGCAGATCGGGTTCTTCTTCTCAGTTTCATGTTTTTGTTGTGTTAGTGTTTTTAAAAAAAACAACTTACAAAACTAATTTTATTTATCATTGACTGCCCTTCTTAGATTCTTATTTACTTACATAAATTACATTAGGTATATTAGGATATGAGATTCCTATACGTAAGCACGATTATCGAAAATCTAAAAATTACCTATCATATTAAATTAATAGATAATTTTAAGATTTTCGATAATCGTGCTTATCTATGAGATGTTTTCGTTAGTTAGCAAATGAAAGTAGTTAAGTACCTAATGTACTCTACCTGTATCGAAAGTTCATTATGTTGTACCTACCTGTTTCCAATTTTAACTAAATGTGCTTCAACAAACTGATGGGTACATTTTACCAGCTATATTCATCCCGGCTTCAGAAATGGACACGAACAAAAGGAAGAAATTTTTCTAAATAAAGATGTAGGTATTACAAACATAAATAGATAGCAGCGGCTAACCTAGTGAGCACGTGTGAGTGCGCGCTGCGCCCCCCCCCCCCCCCCCCCCTTCGTCCGTCCCACTGATCGAGGAAACAATTTGTAGCGAAAGGCAAGATGATTTATAACAAAAAGGAGCGCACGAAATTTTATAAACAGACCTTTGGTAATCTGGATGTCATGAAAAATCTATTGGATGTATCTGTTTAAAATAAAATTATTTGTATTTTTGAACAACTAATCTATCCCTGTATGGTAACTGTTTTGCAATTTTCGTTCTTCTTATGGTATTTATTTCCGCCCAAAGATGTGTTAAAACTAGTGCTGAAATTTGGAATTTTCGACGCTTATAACTTTTAAACATACTCTTTTTTTACTTTTTTGTTTCCATACAGGGCTAGATAATGATGAGACAAATTGAAATCATTTTTTATTTCGAACGTACACCATCAAACAGTGGAGTAATCGCCAGACTACGTTTGTATGGAAGAATAAGCGACTAGTGTACCCTTAACATAGAATGTTAAATAGTTTTAAAGGTGTATTTTCAATTAAATTGATGTCGGTTTTTCCTATATTGCTATTCCCAACTGGGTGCCATGATATAGTACTGTAAATTACTAACCAGCCTATGTTTACTCATGAATGCAATAAATTACTATATCTTTTACTTTTTATATATTAACAATCAGTGACATATTAAGTGACATAGAAATTAATTCATTAGATTTCAGACAGCAAATGCTAAAGCACGCACACCGGTTGACGAAGCAAGGGATCTACTTGCTACAACTATACTTGCCCACGTAGCAGTCGAAAATTACAACTTTTATGTAAAAGCAATCTATTTGGCTATTATGGTCAAAAGAGTTATTGAGGCTGAGACTAACAAAGCTGCTATAGATGACCCTGATTACTACGGAAACAAAAGACTTGAATTAGCTGGTTCTCTTTTAGCCTTGATGTTTGAAGATCTGTTCAAAAGATTCAATTGGGAATTAAAATCTATAGCTGATAAAATCATACCGAAAGTAAAAGCGGCTCCGTTTGATGTTGTTAAACACATGAGACCTGATTTGATAGCCAATGGTCTGTTTACAGCAATTTCAACGGTTAGTATTTTTATTAATTTCATTTTAATAAATACTACTCATTTCAGTCTTTTCACGTTTTAATGTTTATATTATCAGGGAAACTGGACAATCAAAAGATTTAAAATGGAACGGCATGGCGTAACACAGGTGCTTAGTCGTCTCAGTTATATATCAGCTTTGGGTATGATGACCAGGGTCAATTCACAATTCGAGAAAACTAGGAAGGTATCGGGGCCCCGATCATTGCAACCTTCACAGTGGGGCATGCTGTGTCCATCAGACACTCCAGAGGGTGAAGGTTGTGGTCTGGTAAAAAATCTTGCACTAATGACTCACATTACAACGGAGTGTTCTGAAGAACCAATTTCAAGATTGGCGTGTAATGCTGGTGTCGAAGATGTTAGACTGTTGGGAGGCGAAGAAATTAATCACCCTGCTGTATATATGGTTTTTCTTAACGGTAAAGATTTATTTATATTTATCAGTATAATATTCATGTACCCTTAAAAACTTCATTAACTTAATGGTGACAAATATTTTTCAGGAAACATTTTAGGTGTCACGCGGCAGTACAAAAAACTCATAAAAATATTTAGAATGTTTAGAAGGAGAGGTCTTATTTCATCCTTTGTTTCAATATATCCAAATCATAACCAAAGAACTGTATATATATGCAGTGACGGTGGTAGGCTGTGCCGTCCATACATCATAGTAGAAAAAGGTTACCCTTTGGTTCAACAGATACATATTAACGAGCTCAACAGAGGCATCAGAAAATTTCAAGACTTTTTAAATGATGGTCTTATTGAATATTTAGATGTGAATGAAGAAAATGATAGCCATATAGCAACTGTTGAAGCGGAAATCGATCCTTACGTCACTACACACCTTGAAATAGAACCATTTACAATCTTAGGTGTTTGTGCCGGTTTGGTGCCTTACCCGCATCATAATCAAAGTCCGAGGAATACTTACCAATGCGCTATGGGAAAACAAGCAATGGGTAAGATATTTTCTTATTCCTTATACTATTTCTCTTGTAAAACTATGCGCAATTGAAGTTGGCAATTGAAAATAAAGTTGACTTTTATATCTCTTAAGTCCAGTCTCAGTCCCCTTAAAATTCCCATGCAGCCGCATGCGGCCGCACCTACCCGTAACACTTAAAACCATTAAAACTTATATTTGGAGACTACTTTTCTATGAAGAAGTTTGGCATTATAAAATCTATACAAAATTCTCTATATAAAAGTCAGGTTTTACTTCATTACAAAAAGACTGTTGTATTTTCATAACAAAAACAAAACATACCAAGCGAATATCGGCAACGTGAAAATCACAATTATTTCAATATATATTACTCGAAATTATTTACGTAAAAAGATAAATTATATTCACACAAAAACTTTCATTACAATTTTGAAACATATATACATATACACTAATAAAACATTAGAAAAATCCGAAAATCAACACAATAACATTTACGCGAAAATGGCGTACGAAATGAACGTAGATTATAAATAAATATCCATAGAATAACTACTTTTTATTGCACTAGAGGATAGAAAATTTCATATTGATGCTATAATGCCAAAGATCTTCATAGAAAAGTAGTTTCTAAATATAAGTTTTAATGGTTTAAAGTACTGTGGGTGTGCGCGGTCGAATTCGACCGCTATAATTTTGACGGAATAGCGTCGCGGTCGAATTCGACCGCTTAGGGCTTGAAGGGTTAAGCAAGTAAAATTATTAAAAAGGCTGTTATTAAATGAACACCTTTCAACTTCTAATTTATCAGAAGCATTGTCATCATCGTCCATCACAAGACCATTGATAAACGCAGGCCTCTCCCTAGATTGTCACAACGCGCGGTTCTGTGTTGAGATACTTATAATAATAGACTGCAGACTTCCCGGAGCGTCGATTCTTCACATCAGCTATATGTTCTTTAACGCGGGTTTTTATTGATCTTTGAACTGTGACTCTGTGAACACGTACAGGATCGCCCCCGTCACTACATCAGATTTGATAGACCGCAAATCCTCGCTAAAGAACACCGATTCCTTCCAAGGATGATTCGCGAGGCTATTAAAATCAAAAAACATCCTAATTTCAATAGAGAAGATGGCTGGGTGCTACCATCTGCTTGGGATCCTATAATAAATAAAATTAAATCCCAACCCAAGCATACAACTGCAAGACTTCAAGATACCATAAGTTCATACTGCATAGATCGGAACAAAAGTTAAATTTTAATCTATGGTAACCGCGGTTAACTATGACATGTGGACGTTGAACATCTCAGTCCCGCCCGTGACCATGAGTGCTGTAAAGCGTTCGAAACGTCGGGTATTTAAAAAGTTAAATATACGCGATAAATTCCGTAAAAACTAGTATTATTTCAATGTGTAGTGTTCGCGTAAATATAAGAAAACAGAGTACAAACACTTGAGGGTTTCGCTTTATCTAATCTAGACCCAAATAATTTATTACACAGACCCCACGATGAACGAGCTTTAGCAGAGACTAAGAGGTCTACACACAAGACTGACAGATCTAAAGCTCATTAATCATGAGTTTTTTGTAATGTAATGTAATTATTATGTAATGTTGCAAAACACAACTCAGAATTAAAATCCGTATCCGTATCCCTATTTTCCCACCCTTAGGGTAGAATATTTTTATCTAAATTTATATGGGACCAACTTCGAGTAGTAACCCTATCCAATTCGTCGGTTAATTATATTGCGTGTTGTGTAAACGGAATTGAAGCTATCCAAATGAGTTTCTATTTAGTAACATTTTGACGGAAAAGTTTCTCAATATCTAAATGGCGTAAAGGTGTAAGGACACACGTCACGTTACCGCGAAATTTTTGGAAGAATGAGGAATATTTAAAAAAACCAAACGTGTTGTCGAATAAAATACGTAACTGGTTTAACATTTTATGATATCCATATTTCATTCATAGTTTTACGTGATCCAAATCGTCTTACATGCTAGAGTTGAGTGGAGATACACGTTAATTTAAAAAGTACGCGAACTATCTAGTTCAAGCACTAATGAAATTGTTCATTGTATTTTAAGTGTTGACTTAAGATCATGCTCATTAAATCGTGCAATCTTCGTTAGATGGCTGTATAATCTACTCGTTTTTACACCAGATGTAAAACTACCATGTTGGCAACTAAAATCAAACTTATTATTTTATTATTATTTCTGAATAATTTATCAACAAAATTCTTTTTCAGGTACTATTGGCTACAACCAAAAAAACAGAATTGATACCTTGATGTATAATTTAGTATATCCTCAATGTCCAATGGTGAAAACCAAGACAATAGAATTGACAAATTTCGACAAGTTGCCAGCTGGGCAAAATGCCACTGTCGCAGTGATGAGTTACAGCGGCTATGATATTGAAGATGCCTTAATTCTAAATAGAGCTTCTATTGACAGAGGATATGGGCGATGTCTTGTTTATAAAAGTGCAAAAACGACAATGAAAAGATATAGTAATCAAACATCAGATAGAATTTTAGGCCCCTCGAGAGACGCTAATACGGGTAAAATTATAAAAGTTCATGATATACTAGATACTGATGGAATAGCTGCTCCGGGGGAAATGGTTGAGAACAGACAAGTTCTTATAAACAAACAGATGCCACCAGCCACAATAAATCCAATTAGTCAAGGCCAGCCGCAACAAATTGAATATAAAGATGTACCCATTACATATAAAGGTCCAGTTGAGTCGTATATTGAGAAAGTTATGGTTTCTTCTAATGCGGAAGATGCGTTCTTGATAAAAATTTTGTTACGTCAAACTAGGGTCCCCGAGATTGGTGACAAGTTCAGTTCTAGACATGGACAGAAAGGAGTTACAGGTTTAATTGTGCAACAAGAAGATATGCCGTTTAATGACAGAGGCATATGTCCTGACATGATAATGAACCCCCACGGTTTTCCTTCTAGAATGACAGTTGGTAAAACAATTGAATTGTTGGCAGGCAAAGCTGGCTTGATGGAAGGCAAATTTCATTATGGTAATTTTTTTAATGCTATTAATTATTTTTTATGTTATTATATGATTTCAGTTTCAATATTTTCTTTAAACTAAATTCATATCATTTTCTGTTAGGTACGGCTTTTGGAGGTTCCAAAGTTAGTGATGTTTGTAATGAATTAGAAAAACATGGTTATAATTATCATGGTAAAGATATATTTTACTCAGGACTCACAGGCGAACCTTTAGAAGCTTATATTTATTCTGGTCCGGTATGTATTTTCTTTCCATACTTTTGAAATTATATAGTAATTCCTAAATAATTGATTATTATTCGGTAAAAAAACTAAAAGTATAAAATTCAAATATGATGTAGTAGTTAATTTATGGTTAATTGATAGAAACAGGCGTTACTTTGCGGAAATCCATTATAATAAAAATATTAACTAATTTGCGACCTTCCGCTAACTAAATACAATGATGTGTCTTACCTGGATTGAAGAGCACTTAGCAGATTGGAGATCACTTAGCGGTCAGCCGCCGTAGAGTCTACATCACCCGAGGATGCTTCGTGTAGAGGCGAAACACGTGTCGTATTATCGTCGATGGTGTGTCTTACCTGGAATAGTGGTGTTGGAAGTAGTGGTGTCGGGAGTAGTGATGACGGAGTTAGTGCACGCAATTGAGGGAGGACGGGAGGTGTTCTTCAATCCAGGTAAGACACATCATTGTATTAAGTTAGCGGAAGGTTGCAACTTAGTTAATATTTTTATTATAATTTACGATTATTATTAGTAAGAGATCAATTACATAGTAGAGCCATACTGCACGCGTGTATAATGCTGCTGTGTTTCGTTTGGAGACCCTTATTACAGAAAATAGTGAATTCCATCTTAGTCCTCAGAGATGACAACACATCCTGCATTTCTATCTTATTCGAAGATAGATGTACTCGTACATGTCTATGAGCCACAACATCCACTTACTATCAGGTGGACTGTGTGACGTTTGTCACCTTTATTGTAAAAGAAAACAACTTATTTTCTGATTGATTAACCATTATAACAGATCTTTACCTATTAAATTGCTGTTCTGCAGTACTGGCCATTTCAAATCAAAATATTTTTGTTTGGCTAAGAATTCTAATTTCATATTAATTTTGTTTTAAAAACTTGGAATTCTTTTTTCGAAATAAGTCATTTATTTATTGATAAGCTTAATGGTGCTGTGTTTCGTATGGTGAGTGTAGAGAACCGGAGACCCTTTTTACTGGAATCGAGGCATTCAATCTTAATCCTCACGGGTGATAACGCATCTGCATTTTGATTCGTAAACGAAGATCTATGATGGCCACAGCAACCACTTACCATCAGGGGACTGTGTGCTGGTTTGTCACCCTATACTATAAAAATAAGAGTTATGTTTTCATCGCATTTGAATCTTTTTCGTCATCATGGACACGTTAAAAATTAGAGTTATTATGGAATATGAGTACCGACGTGGCAGCAACGCGGCACAAGCGGTACGGAACATCAACGACGTTTACGGAGCGAATACTACAAAACGCACCACATGTTATTGGTTTGCTGTTACTGTTTGTTCTGGATTTTTCGAACTAAAAAATTAATCCCGTGGTTGTCCGAAAACTGGTTGACAATTGCGAAATAAGGCGATCGTGCAAGATGAAGAGCTTTCGACGTTAGCATCAAAACAATATTGGTCCATTAGCATCAAATTGGCAAGGTAAAGAAGTTGACAAATGGGTGCCCCACGAACGCGATGATCGTCTGCGGGAGACTTGCCTTGCACTGCTCAACAGGCACACAAACGAAGGAATTTTGAACCACATTGTTACCTGTGACCAAAACTAAATTCTGTTTGACAATCGCAAGCGCTCAGCAAGTTGGTTGGATCTTGGTTCAGCACCTACACAATACCCTAAATGAAAACTTTCCCCTAGAAAAGTGATGATGTCTGTTTGATGGTCTAGCGCCGGTGTGATTCATCACAACTTCTTAGATAGATTTTTTTTTATAGGAGAGGGGGCAAACGAGCATACGGCTCACCTGATGGTAAGTGATTTCCGCCGCCCATGAACAGCTGCAACACCAGCGGGAATCGCAGATTCGTTTCCGGCCTTTTAAAAAAGGAGTAGGCTCTTTTCTTGAAGGTCCCTAAGTTGTATCGGTCCGGAAAAATCTCTGGTGGTAGTCGATTCCACAAGGAAGTTGTGCGAGGAAGAAAACTTTTTTAAATCGCACGGTGGTGGACCGCCAGTCACCCAGATGGTATGGATAGTATCGCGAGTTTTGTCGCGATGTGCGATGGTGAAATTGTGCGGCTGGAATTAGTCTGAACAATTCCTCAGAGCACTCCCCGTGGTAGATGCAATAAAATACGCAAAGAGATGCAACATCTCTTCGCAGTGCCAGTGAGTCAAACCGATCGGAATGAGCTTGGTCGCCGACGATTCAAACAGCTCTGCGCCCGGAGATGGGAACAGTATTTAATGTGCGGCCAAACCTGCGCCTTGTAAAGTTGCAGGCGGTGAGCCGGCATGAAATACTGTCCCGCTCGCTACTGGCTGAGGCAACAAGGGGAGTGCCTTGAAACTGATACTTTTAGCGGTAAATGCTCAAACCTGTGTCTTCTGTGAATTAAATCGGACTAGATTTAGTCGCCCTCAGTCCGAGACTGTTCAACAAAGTTTCGACTTCAGACACAAGTTTGTCCCGGTACTCGGCGACGTTTTCCCGAGAAATATTAGCAAGGCCGGTGTATAAAGCAATTTTACCGGTTTGCAACATGTCATTGGTATGCAGAAGAAACAACGTTGGTGATAGCAAGCAGTCTTGTGGAACACCAGCGTTAATGGGCTTGTAATCGAAGCTGCACTGTCTACTGCGACCTTGATGCTCCGATCAGCAAGAAAGCTGGTGATCCAATTGCACAATTTCTCGGAAAGCCCATAGGAAGGAAGCTTCGTAAGAGCGCTCTGTGCCAAACCCGATCGAAGGCCTTCGCTATGTCCAAACTAACGGCCAACGCCTCCCCCTTGGACTCTATTGCCTCTGCTTATTTGTGAGTTAGGTAACCCAGAAGATCACCACACCGAGCAACCGCGATGGTAACCGTATTGGCGGTCACTAATCAGCTGGTGATCTTCAAGGTACCGCGATAGGTAGGAAATTATTTATTGCACTTAAAACAAAAGTTGGTACAAAGGCGAACTTAATGCCGAAAAGGCATTCTCTGCCAGCTAACCTTTGGTAGTGTGGTGAGAGCTATGGGTAAGGAACAAACCAACTTATTACACGTATCAAAATGTATTATATAAATATGTTAGTTTATACATGTATAAATTTATACACACATATATGACAGCGCGGTTGCACGTGCGGGGCGGCGCCTCTCAGGCTAGCCAGAATTCTTGTAAAACAATGCGTGCACAGCACACCTGCGCGTTGCACCTGCAGTGGCGATCGTGTGACTACTTGTTTTGCTTGTATAAAATGGACGGAGCGGCCGCCGTTAAGGGAGTCTGAGTTCAGGCTTGGCACGTTGCACTTATTGTATTCGACTACTAGCTCATCCTTGACTCATCGGATAATTAATTCGTGGAAAAGAATTAATTGTTATTTTTAGCTACTAAATTAGTCTCATTATAATTTATAGTTGATTGTCTGTGATCTGTGTATTTCATAATTGTATAAAGTAATATAGTAATTGTGTATAATGTAATATATTGTAAATTAATTATATTCAAAAGAAATGTCCCGTTGGGTTTCTTGTTGGTTCTTCGAAGGACAGAGCTTTTCTCCAAACCAGTGGTCATAGATAATAAATTTAAAAAAAATATTCTAAAAGCTTTTTCTTGGAAATTATAATATATAAACCAATAACATTAATCAAATCATTTTAAATAATGTGCTTCAACCTTATGTTTAAATGTATTTATTGAGGAAGCATCTTTTAAATTTCGTGGAAGATTATTCCAAAGTGTAATTGATGATATCGTAAAGGGATCCGAGTAGTATGTAGATATATGCATCGGGATAGTTAGAGTTTTATTGATCATCGAACGGGGTAAGCTTTGAAAAACGCTCTATCAGATAAGCTGGGGAACAAGGATTGTATATACCATACAAAGTAGTTAGATGTGTGTTCCAGCGAAAATGGATGTCGAGTCAATGTCTTGAATGAAATTGTGATATATGATCAAACTTGCGCAGACCAAAAGGATAGCGTATGCACGGATTGAGCAGACGATCGAGTTAGCTAAGCAGCTTCTCAGTTATATCTGGATAAGCAATATCAGCATAATCAGAAATAGGAAGCAACAGAAGAATAGGACAACTTTATAGCAGGAAAAGAATTGTATACCCGAGAGGCAGTACAAAATGCCTTTCAAGATTTTGTTGCCTCCCGTCCAGCTGATTTCTTCAAGAAGGGTCTCAATAAACTGCCACTGCGTTAGCAAAGATGCATCAATTGCGTGGGTTACGTTAACTTATTTAATTAAAAAAACGGCAATTTTAATCGGTAAAGACCCAATATTATTTACAAATATCAACCCCAATATAAAAGAAATAAAAGTGCTTAGTAAGAGATTCATAACAATATTAGTTGGTATTATTTTAATAATACTCAACTTCTATATCATCATCATTATCATTCATCATTACAGCCCTTCACAAGTCCACTGCTGAACATAGGCCTCCCCCAAGTAATGCCACAAAGCACGGTCCTGAGCCACCTGCATCCATCGACTTCCTGCATGTCTTACCAGGTCGTCACTCCATCTAGTGGGGGGTCGCCCTACACTACGCCTACCGGTACGAGGCTGCCACTCGAGAACCTTTCTTCCCCATCGGTTATCGGTTCTTCGAGCTATATGGCCGGCCCATTGCCACTTCAGCTTACTAATCCGTTGGGCTATGTCGGTCACTCTGGTTCTACTGCGGATATCCTCATTTCTGAGTCTATCACGCAGAGAAACTCCGAGCATAGCCCTCTCCATAGCTCGCTGAGCGACCTTGAGCGTCCTCATACGGCCAGCAGTGAAGGACCACGTCTCTGATCCGTAAGTCATCACTGGCAACACGCACTGGTTGTACACTTTAGTTTTCAGAGATTGAGGTATACCTGACGAGAAGATGTGTCGTAATTTCCCGAACGCTGCCCAGCCGAGTTGAATCCGTCGATTGACCTCTCGGTCGAAGTTGGACTTACCTAGTCGGACTATTTGTCCCAGGTAAACGTATTCGTCAACAACTTCGAGCATAGTGCTCCCAACAACTACCGGCATAGGTGTGACATGGACATTGAACATGATCTTTGTTTTGTCCATGTTCATCTTAAGACCTATCCGTTGGGAGGCACTATTGAGGTCATTGAGCATAGTGCTTAAGTCCTCCAGCGATTCTGCCATAAGGACTATATCGTCGGCAAATCGAAGGTGAGTGATGTACTCGCCATTGATGTCAATACCGTATCCTTTCCAGTCCAGTAGCTTGAAAACGTCTTCCAATGCAGCGGTGATGAGTTTCGGGGATATAACGTCACCCTGTCTTACACCTCTCTGCAGTTGGATAGGTTTCGAGCTCTGGTTCTGTACTCGGATAGCCATCGTAGCCCTACTGTACAAACACTTCAGCACTTCGATATACCGACAGTCAACTTGGCACCGCTGAAGGGACTGTAGCACCGCCCAAATTTCGACGGAATCAAAGGCTTTCTCATAGTCCACATACGCCAGGCAAAGTGGCAGATTGTACTCTTCAGTCTTCTGTACAATCTGCCGCAGGGTATGTATGTGGTCTATGGTACTGAAGCCTTTTCGGAAACCGGCTTGTTCGGGAGGCTGGAAGTCGTCAAGTCTGCGTGCGAGACGATTCGTAATGACTCTCGAAAACAGCACGTAGACGCGGCTCAGAAGGGAAATCGGTCTGTAGTTCTTTAAGAGAGCGTTGTCGCCTTTCTTAAAGAACAAGACAACTTCTATATACTTCTATATAATACTTAAATAAAAAGATTAAAATAAGGACAATTATAATTAAAATTATTTGAAGTAAGGTATAAATAATAAGTAAGTGTTATTGTTGCAGGTTTATTATCAGAAATTAAAACACATGGTGCAAGACAAAATGCATGCTCGTGCTCGAGGCCCCCGCGCAGTCCTTACTCGGCAGCCAACCGAGGGTCGCTCTCGAGATGGCGGGCTGCGGCTCGGTGAGATGGAACGCGACTGTCTCATCGGATACGGAGCTAGGTATGTGAGCTAAGCTAATAGGTCGCCGAAAATGTTGTTGAAAACTGTAAACTGTTTATATCTGGCTGGTTTTTAATATCCATACTAATATTATAAATGCGAAAGTGTGTTTGTTTGGCCTTCTTTCACGTCGCAACAGAGCGTCGGCATGGCATGAATTTTGGTATGGGGATAGTTTGGTGGCTGTAGAGTGACATAGGCTACTTTTTTCCGTGGAAAACATCTCATTCCCGTGGGAAAATCGAATATGTTGCAAAATTAAATTCAGCTAGGTGACGCCACTGTGATTCTACAAGACGGACGACGGTACGATGGACGAACACAGAAGGTCAGAATATCTGGATTATTATGTCTTTTTACCAAAATTAAAATAAAAAATGCATGGATCTGTATTTTTCCACGCAGGACCGGGAAGAGAGCGATAATTACATAAAATTCACCAGCTGATTTTCTACAAACGTTTTGGTGCATTGTAATTCACAGAATAGGCGATAACCTCGCAGCTGATATTAAGTAATCCGTTGATGCTCTGCCTACCCCGCAAGGGTTACAGGCGTGATTATAAGTATGGATCAGAAATACTATCACCACTTGTCACGCTTTCACCCTTAACTATTACTTAACTGTGGTAGAAACAGTTTTTAGTAAGGCTTATTAATAATATTTATTGAACGGAAATGAATACAGTTCTTATATGTGGTTATAAATGAATCGGTATTAACATAAGAAAAATTGTGCAAAATTATAAGAAAAATATTTTTGAGAGTTCTTATTAACTAACGTATACATAGTTTAAATTGATTCCGCTAGATGTCGTTACTAGGTTTTTAAAACGCGGTAACGAAATGTTTCCTGACATGTACTTAACTCCCGCCGTTGAGCCGCGCGTCAACTTATAGCGCATACGGTACCTATACGCTTAAATTGTTTCTATTTCGTAGCTTATTCGACTACCTGCTTTCGATTTCGGTTGTTTGTTATTTGCTTTGTGATTTGGTTAAGGTTGAATGGATTTATATAGGCTTTCATTTTCGGATTTGTGTATTTTCTTGGATCGGTTATGTAGATTTGGTTGGTATTATTTTATACATATTTAGACTCTGGCTTTGATTTTGGATTTTGTTTATTTAGAATCGTGAATTGGTTTTCGTTGTTTAGGTTTTTTAACAATATTTCAAATGAATATTAATAGTATAGATAGTGTATACGGTACCTATACACTTACTTCTTTTTTCGTTGGTTATATTTATATTGACTACTGCTTTCGATTTCGGTTTTCTGCGATTTGTTTTGTGATTTGGTTTAAGTTGATTCGATTTTTTGGCTATCGTTTTCGGATTCGTGTTGTGTCTTGAATTGATTTTGTTGTTTTGATTTTAAAAAATATTTAAAAGGAATATTTATTCCTTTTAGATATTTCGGATTTGCTTTTAAAAAAAATATTTAAAAGGAAATTTAATTCCTTTTAGGTATTTTAACGTTTTTTTATAAATAGGTTTTTTGTTACTTCATAATGCCTCGCAAACGTAAGCCCAGCCTTTCAAGAGTATCTTCTCAAAGACAAGCGAAAAGATTAGCTCGATCGCCAGAATCTTTAGAAAATGCTGAACTAAGAAGGCAAGAACAAGCAGAGCGTCAGGCTGCTTTTATAGCATCTGAGACACCTTCTCAACGTCAGCAAAGGCGTCTTGAACAGACAGAGCGTCAAGCTACTTTAAGAGCTTCTGAAACACCTCAAAGTCAGCGAAGGCGTCTTGAACAGGCAGAGCGTCAATCTACTTTAAGAGCTACTGAAACACCTGCTCAAAGTCAGCAAAGGCTATTCGAACAAGCGGAACGTCAGGCCGCCTTAAGAGCCGCGGAAACATCTGATGAAACTCAACACAGACTCATTGAGCAAGCTGAACGTCAATCTACTATAAGGGCATCTGAAACACCAGAACAGACACAGGCGCGAAGAGATGCAAATGCACAGCTCCAAGCTGAACGTCGACAAAATTTTCTAAGAAACAATTGGTCTGTTTTTAATGACGCAGCATTCAATTATGATCCGTTGATTGATTATAAAAATCACAGGTTAGTTTTTATCGGACTGATGGACAAGGCGTGTCGATTTTGCAGCGCTTTAAAATGGAAAGTGTAGTGTTATGCTTACATACATACTTACATATCATTTTACACTATTTTATTTTTATTTTTCCATTCTGTTTTTGATTTTCTACATTCACCTCAAAACTGGATATTTTGCATCACCTTTATTTCCATAGGATCCTGTAATATTTTTAATTCATAAGAACACAATAACAAATCATTTTCACTTCGTATTTTCACGTTATCAGCACTTTTTAAATCGGTGTCAATGGAGTCTACCTTTTTCGATCTTTTATTTAGTTCTCCGTAACTCTACAATTTCGGGTTTCGTGCGCGCTCTTGCGCTACCTTTTTTCCTATATAAATAATATCTCATTTTTCACTTAAATCTTGCCGTTTCTGTATTACGAGCTTAAAACCAAAATTTGACATGTTTTGACATCGTTGTTTATCTGGTTGTCGTGGCAATTTTTATTCAAATATTGTTACCGGCCTGATGTTTTTACTTCAAAAATACTCTTTTCTTCTTGGCCATTTACAAAAATTTGCTTTTAATTTAAATAATTTCAAATAATTTCTCGTTCTTATCCCAGATCCGTCAAAAAGTATAAAAGCCGAAGAATCGGCCGATAGAGGGCCTCACTTCAGCTTTGATACGAGAAGCACCTCTTAAAGGCCGCACTGCCTCGGGATCACTTCTCCAGGTCGCCTAGCCACGCCTAGCCTCCCCATAGTGCCCGCGATTTGGCCTCGTTTCACGTCTCCTACTCCGCGTCACCCGCAAAAAAAAAGAGAGGGATCCCTCGAGCTTTATCCGCACTGCCTCGGGATCTTGCAAGCCTTCTCCTGAAGTCGTCGCCTAGCCACGCCTACGCCTCCACCTATTAGTGCCCGCGCTATCTTCGGCCGCTGAGCGTGCTTGTCTCAAGCGCTGCGTGTTCCTACTCCAGACGCTGCGTGTCTACTCCGGACGCTGTGTGTGTCTACTCCGGACGTTGTGTTTGCCTACTTCAAGCGCCACGTGTACCTACTCCAGACGCTGCGTGTCTACTCCGGGTGCTGCGTGTATCTGCTCCGGGCGTTGCGTGTGCCTACTCCAAGCGCTGCGTGTACCTTCTCCAGACGCTGCATGTGCTTTCTCCAGATTCTGCGTGTACCTAGAGCAGGCGCTGTGCACCTATCATAGGCATAGCCCGTGCATACTTCGTTGCAGTATCTTTATTTTTGTTATTTTTTTTTAATAATATTGTAAATCACTATCATCATTACAGCCCATCATCACCTTCATACCTTTTTTTTATAAAAGAAACTGTAAATCTTTTCAAATTTTTAAATAATTTATTTTATTTTTGGTTGTTTTGTTGTAGTTAGGTTAGGTTATTTAGTTTTTAATTGTCTCTCCACGACAATTTATTACTAAATAACCTAACCTAACTACAACAAAACAACACAGGAAAAAGGCTTTATCCGCACTGCCTCGGGATCTTGCAAGCCTTCTCCTGAAGTCGTCGCCTAGCCACGCCTACGCCTCCACCTATTAGTGCCCGCGCTATCTTCGGCCGCTGAGCGTGCTTGTCTCAAGCGCTGCGTGTTCCTACTCCAGACGCTGCGTGTCTACTCCGGACGCTGTGTGTGTCTACTCCGGACGTTGTGTTTGCCTACTTCAAGCGCCACGTGTACCTACTCCAGACGCTGCGTGTCTACTCCGGGTGCTGCGTGTATCTGCTCCGGGCGTTGCGTGTGCCTACTCCAAGCGCTGCGTGTACCTTCTCCAGACGCTGCATGTGCTTTCTCCAGATTCTGCGTGTACCTAGAGCAGGCGCTGTGCACCTATCATAGGCATAGCCTATGCATACTTCGTTGCAGTATCTTTATTTTTGTTTTTTTTTTAATAATATTGTAAATCACTATCATTCATCACACATCAATATCACAGCCCATCATCACCTTCATACCTTTTTTTATAAAAGAAACTGTAAATCTTTTCAAATTTTTAAATAATTTATTTTATTTTTGGTTGTTTTGTTGTAGTTAGGTTAGGTTATTTAGTTTTTAATTGTCGCTTTACGACAATTTATCAGCCTTGTTAAGGAATTCGTACTTAATAACCCTTTTCATTGTTATAATTAAGTGCAAAGTTAAGTTTAAGAAATAAAAATGTAATTAAAAATTGTACCTCTTTAAGTTATCTAGAATAAAAATATAAAAGTGATGAATGAAGTGAAGTGTTATATGTAAGTCTAAATATAATCCAGGTAAGTTGAAAAACTAGATGAAGTTTTGTTTTAGAATTTGGAAGATAGTACCTCTTTAAGTTCTCTAGAATAAAAATATTAAGGTGATGAATGTAAGTGTTATATGTAGGTCTAAATATAATCCAGATAAGTTGAAAAACTAGATGAAGTTTTGTTTTAGAATTTGGAAGATATGATAAGGATGAGTAAATAAAGAGTTAAGAACGAAAGAGAAAGCAATTCAATCAAAAGGAAATGGATAAGGCGTAGCTAAGGTGAAGAAAAGAAGAACTTTTACGTCGGGCGCCAAATTGTAGAGTTACGGAGAACTAAATAAAAGATCGAAAAAGGTAGACTCCATTGACACCGATTTAAAAAGTGCTGATAACGTGAAAATACGAAGTGAAAATGATTTGTTATTGTGTTCTTATGAATTAAAAATATTACAGGATCCTATGGAAATAAAGGTGATGCAAAATATCCAGTTTTGAGGTGAATGTAGAAAATCAAAAACAGAATGGAAAAATAAAAATAAAATAGTGTAAAATGATATGTAAGTATGTATGTAAGCATAACACTACAAAAGATGAGACCACAGGCACGTGCTGTTCCAATGGCAAAGTGTCTCTTCCGTTACTTGGGGAACCAGAAGAACCTTTGAATATTTTCTTTTTA